ATTAAAAATGAACTATTAAATAGCACAAAGGACTGTCTTCTCAGAAGGGTAAAGGATGCAGACATGTCACATGTGAGGAGAAGCCACTGCCTTGGGCTGAGGAAAGTACCCAATGAGGAACAATTGTGCATAAGCATGATGGGGGAAATCCTTCTGTGTATATGTTTGTCTTATTGGTTGATAAATATAAAGCACTGTTGGCCAATAGGGAAGCAAGTTAGGCAGGACTAGGAGAGAAGGAGGATTCTGGGAAATGTAGTAAAGAAGAGAGTCGCCATGTGATCCTGACAAGAGAGGACTCATGCTGCTGGTGTCCTCAGTAAGATAAGTCTTTATGAAATATATAAATTAATAGTTATGGTTGATAATTAATACTGAGCTAAGCCAGGCGTTGGTGGTGCATGCCTTTAATCCCAGCACTCGGGAGACAGAGGCAGGCAGATCTCTGTGAATTCGAGGCCAGCCTGGTCTATAGAGTGAGTGCCAGGATAGGCTCCAAAGCTACACAGAGAAATCCTGTAAGAAATCCTAGTTATTGGCCATCAGTATTAGTTACAACTAATACTAATCTCTGTGCGTTATTTGGGGCCCTAACGTGGCAGCGGAACTCAGGCGGCTGGCAGAAAGAGTTATTGTTACATAAGCACTTTCCAAGTTATCATTACATAAGCACTTTCCATTGAGCTCTAATGTGGCCAGGTGGCATCTTTAAAATTAAAGAAAGGCCCTAGTCTGTGAAAGGTGTGGTAATGTGTTAGGTGTCTTCTTGGAATGTTGTGAGCTTTCTATAGGATGACAGAACTTCCCAACGTGTTTGGGGGAAACAATCGATGACATTGAAAAACTCCTTAAAGACATAGAAATGGAAGTGGTGTCATATTTTAAAGTTCAGACAAAGTGAAGAGTCTTGACAGTGTGTTCACAGAAATGGAAGGGTCACCTACATTGTGCTTTGGAAACAGAGAAAGTGTTGAGCACAATTGACCTCAGCAGTGTGTTGGCACTGGAATTACTTGCTGAGAAGAGGCAGGAATAATGGAATTCTGTTTGGTCCCACTGAGAATGCTTCACACACCCAGCTTGGAACCTTCACCCAGTAGCTGATGGAAGCAGAAGCAGAGATTCACAGCTAAACACTAAGCCGAACTCCTGGAATCCAGTTGTAGAGAAGGAGGAGTGATGAGCAAAGGGGTCAAGACCAGGTTGGGAAACCCACAGAAACAGCTGACTTGAGCAAGTGGGAGCTCACGGACCCTACTCTGGCAGCTGGGGAACCAGCATAAGACTGAACCAGGCCCCCTGAACCTGGGTGTCAGTTGGGGAGCCTAGGCAGTCTATGGGGCCTCTGTCAGTGGAACCAGTATTTAACCCTGGTGCATGAATGGACTTTGGGAGCTCATTCCCTATGAAGGGATACTCTCTCAACCTAGGTACAGGGCGGAGGGCCTAGGTCCTCCCCCAAATGATGTGACAAGTTTTGATGATCCCCATGGGAGGCCTCAGCCTTCCCAGGGAGTAGATGGGGGAGGAGAGGGGGGTTGCTAGGAGGAATGGGAGGGGGAACTGGGGTTGGTATGTAAAATAAGATTGTTATTACTTTAAATAAAAATTAATTTAAAAAAGACACCCAGTTTGCATGGGCAGCCAGTCTCTCTCTGGTCTTTTAAAATGAGATTATTTAAGCAAATCAACTTTTAAATCATTGTTGTTTTATATATACACCAGCATTTAAATTCATCCACACATCAAGAACTAGAAGACAATCATAATGTTAATCTTCTGGCTCCAGGCTCCCTCTACTGACTCCAAAATAATAAACAAACATTTTATGGGCACCTTCCTGACTAGATTCAATCATATGTGAAAGCCAAGGCAAACTATCTCTTTCAATAACAATGGATAACCTTACTAAGAGAAGTGGGGAGTTTAACATTTGGAGAAAGGTGAAAAATATAAACTAATTTGCAAAGTACTTGTATAGATAGAACTACATGCAGTTGCCACCAATTCTTATCCACAAATGACAATGGCATGTGGCTTGACCCAATATTTTAATTTTTAATTGTCAAAGAGAGCAACAAGTCATGAATACACGTATATATACCAATGCGTTGTCAGCGGTGATGGTTGTCTTCAGTTAAAAAAAAAATGGTATAATGAAACTCTCTAAATGCAATAATCAATTTACATATTTCCTGACTAAAACGAACCACAGGATGTGTTAAGTCAAGTGCCTTACAGGAATGTATATATGATAATTTTTGCTTAGAAGAAATATGCCCTTAGGTTAGTGTAAGACACGAAGGGCTTCCCGTGAGAAGATAAATGAAAGTAATGCACAACAGCCCTTGTTTACAAGAGGGGAGCTGGAAATTAAACACCACACTTAACAATTTAACTGTGAGAAGAGGAAGTGGGTTAATTTGCATAGACTTCAAACAATCTCACACTATTGAGCAAGCCAGCAAATCCTGGAAAGAATTAGAGGTAAAAGCCTAAGTCAATACACTTCAAACACCCTTGGTGTTCCCCAGCAACTGGCAAGAAAGCTTCTTCTGGGGAAGTTCACACTTTGCACAAAATAAATATCAAGTCTGTTGTTGGTACTTTTCCAAAAAGTTAATATTTTACAGTTCAGAACTTTAGTTTGTCTGCCTTTGAAGCTCAGGGAATGCCTTTTGAAGTTGCGTTTTCATGGACCTAGGAATCTGGTCTGAGAATGAAAGATGTCATCCAAGATTTATTTACAAAGATGGTCATCTAACCGTTATTTCTTATAGTTACTCTTCGGGCTCACACCTCCCGCCTGGTATACAGCCTCTACACAGATCCCAGCAGAGATTTTCAGAAACAATGAATTAGCAGGAGAAAAGTTAGAATTCTCCAAGTTAGGGACTGTCTGAAGAAATTATAAATAAGCTGTAAGATATATGTATGCCACTAAAATATTTTGAAGACAAAAAAAAACATTGGGAAAATATTCAAGAGAAAATGTTAAATAAAAAGAATACCAACAACATGGACCATCAAATATGAATGTTAGTAAGTAAATATCTATCTGCCCAAGAGGGCTAGAAGTAAAAATTAGAATTACTGGCTGAGATTACTACTAGGCAGTAGAATTCTGGGTAGTTTAAATTCTTTTAGTTGTGCTTTTTAGTATGTTGTAAATTGTCCATCATGAGAGTGTATTGCTAACCCAGGCTTTTTGTTTGGGAAGGGAGCTTGTTTGCTCAGTATTAAGCCCAAGGCTGCAATGTGCTAGGCTAGTACTTCGGAACTAACCTACACCCCTAATCCCATACTTGTTTTATGATCAGAAAACATGAAATGTTATTTAAAGGCTTTTTTGTATCATGCTATGCTAACATTCAGATCTGCAATGTAAATGTATCCATTAAAAACCATGGGTCCGGCATGTAGCTCAGTAGTAGACTGCTTGCCTAAGGTGTACAAAGTCCTGGGTCCAATCCCCAGTACCACTAAAAACAAAACACCATGGAGTTTAATAACAGCTGCTTGGCTTTCTCTCTCACTTTATTAGAACAACCCCTCACTAGGCAGATACTTCAGATAAACTTATTCAGCATCCACATGCACAGGCCAGAGCTAAACTTGGCTTTATGTTTGAGCATTATGTCATTAACCGCTGCCTAAAGGCTATAGAAATGGGCAGATTATTTCTGATGTTACTGAAATGAAGAGGAACTGTAATGCTTCCGCATCAATGAGAAGTAAGATAACCGTTGTGGGGTTGAATAAGCATTGGGCCAGGCACCGGACTGGAATGATCTTTGTCCTTACTACTCTGGAAGTAGATTCTTTGATTTAGATGCATAATACAGCAGAAGTGAACTATTACCTAAGAGTTACTGGTCAGATGTCATATGTTAGTCTGTAAATAGCTTCTCTTTCCATGTTCCGAGATATAGGAACAATAGACACATCTTGAAAAAGCTGCACTGTATAAACTTTCTTGAACTGTCTTTTGGGATGTGGAAGGTAGAAAGAGACAGCATATTCAGGCCAGCTTGATTTCTTACAGTAGGACAATGTGTGCAGCAAAGCCATCATTATCTATTTATCAACACCAAGCAAATGTAACAGAATTAACATTTTTAAACACGATCAAGAAATACACCTTGCCTTTACTGAGAAAGATCTTGGGTAAAATTTAGACATCTGATATGTAAAGTGTTTCTGTCCTTGCAATATCAGAAGTCGTGGCTTGCTAGGTCCTCATCAGAAGAGGCATGCATTTGTCAATTATTTCATTGGGTTCCTTAAACTTCCATTCTAGCTTTTTTTTCTTGATGCTTTCACTATTATCCATGATTCAGAGATGTAGAGAGTGACTGGATGGATGACTCCGAGAATTTAAAAACAACTGAAACTCTGCATCTTCTATACATCAAAACTTAACATATTTTCACCATCAGGTAAAGTGCATGTCCCCAGAGGGCCTTTAAGATATTGGACATATCTCTTATCTTCTATGTGAAATTCAAATCCAAATTTGATTACAACAGGGCTCTCTTCAAATCTGGTTGCCTAGCAACAAGTTCTCCATGTCCAAGGAGAGAAGTTACCCATTTTTTTTTCCCCCTAGAAGATAAGCTTCAGAGACAACTGGGATTTTCTAACAGAGAGTCCTCCCACCCTCTTTTGTGACCGAAGCAATGAAGCATAAGACCTCCAACTGGCCAAGGTGACTCAGTAGCAGCCCGGGCACGAAAGGGAACCCAGGCTTGCCAGGGACTGGTGGGAAAGGCGAGTTGGTTCTAAACACCTGAACCGGATCCCTCGGAGAATTGATGTCGAGACCCCCAGCAAACCCATAATCTTCTAGGGGCGATCTCGGGTGCAGGGGATTTTTGTTCATCTACATCCAGAGGCACCAATCCCTCCCAACTCAAGGCATCTTTTCTTCCACAAGTTGTAACCCCCAAATGAGGCCACCTCGCCCCCTTTCCCTCCGCCACCTAGAGTCAGGATCAGGTATGGACACCGACCTTCCAGTCCCCCTGTCTCCGGGCTTTCTCAAAGTAACCAGGGTACGTGCTCAAGTCTGCCCCAGGATGTGCGCCCCTAACTTGCCCCG